TGTCAGCAAATGACCAATCGGCGACCTCAATTTGTCTCGAAGGCAAATGCCCCTCGTCTGTGAAGCTGCTCTGCAGCTGCTCAGGGTGCACGCTCGAGTATCAAGTCTGAACCCTCTGCGTACAGTACACGCGTACATACGCATGAACGGACGTACGCGGGAGTATACTGGGGGCTTAAAAGGACTGAGTATAAAAGAGCCTTTCAGAGAGACTCTGAAGTAAACATGGACCGGAGTTCAGAAGTGAAAAAGTAAAAGGTGGGCAGAGGTTCCACCTGGAAGTCTCCGCAAGCTGCTGCCTCCGAGACCTGACTCAGGAATGGGTAGGCAGGATGGAGGAATGGATTTTATTTATTTATTTAGAGAGGGGGGGGGGGGTGTTGAACACAATGCATTTCATTCAGCAGTGGAATGACAATAAAGTTTGTTAAATTTGAACAAACTGATAAACTATTATTCAAACCAAGGGAGGGGGCATCCAAAGAATTAAAGAGTCAAAGCCCCCTCCCCCTCCCCCACCATCACTACTGTGTGTAAGACATAAACCCCATTTGTTCTGACGTTCCAGTGAAGAACGTGTGTGTTCTTTGGTTGGGGCGTGTGTGTAAAACATAATTTGGGCCGATTAAAGCTGATGAATAATTAAATTGACTTAAGGAGCTTATTATTTCCAGGAGCACAGAGGAGGGAGGCAACAGGAAACTGATCCTTTAAGCCGCCAGGGGACCGTCAGCCCTACTGCGAGTCCTTTCCCCGTCTTTTCTTCCTGAACACGGTTTTAGATGCCTGTTGCAGATACTGAGCAGGGAGAATAAAGGTCAGGTTCTAAAAGAACAAATCAGACCCCGAGGGAGGAAACACTGGTTTAAAAAAAAAAAAAGAAAATCCTTAAAAATAAAAACACTGTCAAAAAGATCAAGTAACGGATTCACGATGTTCAAAGTAATACGTTTCAAGTCTCGTATTTATTTATCTGCACTTTTATTAATTTGTTTTGTTGCAGTCAAACTATTTGTTTCCTGAAAAAGCTTTAAAATCCTCGTTTTTAAATTTTGACATAACCTCAGTAACTTTACTACAGACTTGTATTCCTGAACGGAAACATCAGCCACATTAAATTAAAAATGTCAAAACAAATTTCAATCCTGTATTTGTGTAAAATAACGCATTCCTCCAAATGTTTTTTCTTTT